CCTTTTAAAAATGTATAGAAAAACTAGGTTTATGACTTTATAAATGAAAGAAATTGAACATTACTTTAAAATGAATATTTAGTTTCAGATTGTCTTTACTACAAACAAAAACTGCCCTCAAGGACACCTGAGAACTCCCACCTCCCACTGGGCTGCTAGGGACCCCCCACCAGTGTCCGCTAGTCTGTGATCTCCAGGGTTTGGAGGCACTAGCAGCACCCACGAACTGACCTGCAGCCTGGGCCCCAACTGCGTGACTGTCACCCCAGACAGATGGGGACACAACCACCCAGGTCCAAATCAAGGCAGTGAATGGCTGGGCAAGGGGGGGCGGGGGGGGGGCAAGGCGACCTGCAGACTTGGGGCTGCACCCCTTCCTTTGTCGCTGTTTGCTTTCCACTGGTTCAAGTCTGATCCCGAGTCCTGTCCTGTTTGAAACTGCCATCTCCCGCTAGGAGGACCAGAACCCAGGACAGCACAGGTGGCTGTGTCCTGGGTACAGAGCCCTGGGCACCGCAGCTGCAACTGCAGCTCAGATGGCCTGGGGGAGCCAGGGGGGGGGTCCTTCAGGCTGCTTTGTAAAGGCTGAATGGAGTCTTCCTTATCATATTCGGGTAACTGACATCTGTGCTCAAGAAAAACTGGTCCACCTGGGGACCAGCTGCTTCCCTAAAGTTTGCTGTCAATTTAGCAGGGGAGACCCTACGGGGTGGGGGGGACACGAGAGCAGATGGCTAAGGTACAGTGAGCGGACAATAGCTTCTGATGTCCTGTGACACTGGGTGACCATAGTCGACAAAGACTAACTGAATACTTCAAAGCAGCTAGCATAGGAGGCTGGAGGGGTTGCACATGTCTGTAAACCCAACTACTTGGGAAACTGAGGCAGGAGGATCCCAAGAGCATCCCCACTGGATCAAATCAGCAAAACCCTGGGAAACCAGTCCACTAGGAAGGCCTAACCCAGAGGCAAGTGGAGATGAGATCTCAGGGCACGTTGAGTGTAGAATGCTCCCTGCAGTTAGAGGACAAAGAAGTGCACAGACCAAGCTCTGTGTGGAGGAAGTTTCGGGGCATAGAACCGAGTCCTGGCTTCTAGCACACCCCAAAACTTCTACTTCCCAACTCTCTACATTAAACATGTCCATTTGAGGAAACCAAGGGTAATGCCTGCTGACACCCGGTAACATGTCAGGAAGCAACCGGGCACGGACCTGAGCCCTGGATGGGCACAATCAACGGCAGTGCGCTCCACTTCCGCCAGGGACTTCTGCCTGTCACCGCGGCGGGCTGAGAAAATCCTGTTGTTTCCTCTGCTGCCGATGGGATCCCCTTGCTGTGAGCTCCTGTCACTCCCTGTTACTCGCCGTCACTCCCTTACTATGCCTGGACTTCACAGCCACCATTCTCCTAGGGCTGCCCAGCTGGAGAGGCGAATGCAGTTAAGACAGGACACAGAGATAATGCTGAAAGAGGGGCCAGCGGGCCTTGCCTCTAGTGGACAAGGAGCCCTAAGCATCTGGCGCACCTCACTTTTACTTAGACATGGAAACAAGCAATTAGGTCAGGAGATTCATCGGCCTCTTGGTGGCTGCAGAACACGCCCTGGTGCATGGCCCATCTCAGCCGTGCCAGCTCACCTGCACCTTGCTGCCCCTCTCCTCTGTGCTCGGAGAGCGCAGCTAGGTCCCATCCTCATGATCTAGTATCCTACAGATATAGCAAGGGGCCAGGGACCTGCCTATGTGTGCCAGGCCCTGCGCCATCCCTAGCAGAAGGCTCTTGAAGTTCTCAAGACAAAGAAACACTGGGGATGAGATATGCCAGCTGATCTGATCTCACTGGGACGCTAAGAATCTACGCAGTCAAATACCTCATACCTTCGGGCAACCACCATGTGTGGCTTAAAAGCAAAAAACACATCAAGTCTGAACAGGTAATCCGTGATGGGGCGGTAGCCCTGCACTGTGTGCCCCTGGGCATCTCAGTGTCAGGCTCCCTGCTGGCTCAATCATTCTGTATTACCCTCCTCCAGTTTCTGTGTACACTGGGCTTGCAGTGGATATGTCCAGCAAGTGTCCTTCCCTGAGACGCACCCTCGGCCCCACACCCCTAAACTGGCTCCCGTGTGTCTTCCACTGTCGGATTCTGGGCTTCCACGGCAAAGCCTCGGCTCTGGCTCTGGCTCTGGCTCTGACATATCCTCTTCCTGTCTGGTCCACCTGTGGCTGCTGCCTACCACCTGCCGCTGGCCCAGAGCCCGGCAAAACTAGAGGAATGGACTTGAGTCCAAGGTCCCTGGGCTGGAGGACAGCACAAGAGAGCAGGGCGCAAACTGCCAGGAGCCCAGGTCAGCAGCGACAGCATCAGAGAGACTCGGGGAAAGCGTATGCTTCATGGGCCCTCAGAGAGCAGAGTGGCCTGTGCGCCGCTGTCCCACAATGACTTGAACAAAATACAACTCACATTCACTTCACATTTTTATTAAACTATGCTTTTGTTTCTAAAGACAACAAAGAACACACACACACTTTTCCACACATCAGGTCATGAAAAATACAGCAAAGACACCCACTGCAGTGAAGAACAGATTTTAAAGTCCTTCAGAGAAGCTTTCATAAAAAGGAACTTTACAATGTAAGGCTTGTGCTGATTACCTGACATTCCAGGAAAAGTTTTGAATTCTTTATTCTGATGCCATTCTGATTTATAAATATTTGTTCAAATAGTCTAACAACAACTCTGCTGTTTGAAACTTTAGAATCATAATTCTACACAAAGATTCCTCTCTTGTGGAAGCAGATGTCAGATTTTATGTGAAAGTTTACTTGATTTGGGGTGACAATGATGGGCACAGCTGTGGCAATAATGCCAACGTGGGAGAGCCCTCGGCCCCCAGGAGTAAGCCCGAAACGCTGGAAAGGCTGTGCACGCAGCTGCACAGAATCTACTGATTTAGAACCCAGCATCTGGGGTCTGATCGCAAAAAAGGTAACAACCTAATTCTTCATTAAAAAGAAAAAGGAATTTTAAATAGCTTCGATCAAAGAATGAGTGTGCTGGATTGATAAAGTCGTTCAACTTTCAGTGAGGCAAACAGCTTCGCAAACACACTCCTTTCCACCTGGAAAGACCACTCCTGAGGCCCTGAATGCATTTCAGAACTGGAAACCAACGCTTTTAGGTGAAGTCCGTCTTTTTCCCAACCACTTGGTAAAATGGGAGAAATAAACAAGCTTAAATACGAAAGATCACACTGCTGGGGAAAATTTCTAGTGGGACAAACAGGTGAAGAAAAACCAGTTGAAGTAATATGGTTTAAGAAATTATCACAGTGAAATTTGAGAAGTGAAAAGGAAATACTGAATCTTTAATAATGAAGATCTTAAAAATGACAAATGTAGTTAAGATGCTTGCGATCAACAAGAAGAAAAATTACCGATGCTGCCGAGAGACATACACACAAAAAGCATTCCATTCACAAGTGTCAAATTCCCACAACTCAGCAGGCTGAAAGAATGCAGGTCCCTCTCCGGTCCCTCTCCTTCAGCTGCTGCGGGAGGAGAGCGCGGGAGGGCTAAGGCGCTCTGAACAGAGGCACTGCAGGTAAAGGAAGGAAGGACACTCCAATGCTCCCCCACAAAAGTGTACTTCCACAATCTACTCCGCAACTTCTTAAAAGGCTAAAGTACCTTGAATACTCATTAGAGTTATCTGAAAGAGAAGGAAAGGTTTCAGCTTTATCTTATAAAAATTAATCACTGTCTCAAATGATCTAACTAGTGCTCAAATAATAGTAAAAACAGATCCCAGAGTGTAATGCATTTTACATACTAAAACATGCCGACACAGGAGTGTTTCGAGAAAGTTATTTGTCCTTCAAAAGCACTAGAGATACGCAGTTCTGTGAACTAACTCTACTGTCACGTAAATATGCCTCTGACTGGTGCTCGAAGATGGTGGGACAAGGCCCGGAGACACAGCTCAGCAGCACAGTGCCTGCCTGGCACGCTCGAGGTCCTGAGCTCAATTCCCAGTACAAAAAAAGAAAAAGAAAATTCAGACACAGAGGTCATGAGGAGGTGCAAAGAGGTGTCCCGTGGAGTGTCTGGAGTGGACACCGTTCTGAATGGACTTTCTTATAAGTTTCAGAATCTTAACTTCCTTTTTTTTCGGTACTGGGACTCAAACTCACAACCTTGAAGATGCCCAGCAGGTGCCTTGCCCCTGAGCTGCACCCCCACCCCAGAGCCTTAACTTTCTACAACACAGTGAGGCCTGTTTAATGAGAAGGTCAGATCCAGACAGAAGCCTAACAAATGAAGACGAAGTAATGGAAACAGGGCACATACGCAGTTCCTTTTCCATCCTGGCCCTGCCTCGCCCCTCTCCATGGGTCTCCTTCTGTCCCTGCCTATCATGCCTCTGCTGGGACCTGCATGGCACCTGGGCAGGCAGGGACCCCCAGCCTGGGGCTCTGCCAGTGTGTCCCTCGTGGAGCACCTGAAGGCCTGGATGAAGATGACTCTTTGGGTGACACCAGCACTTTGGGTGGCATGGGAGACACGGGATACGTTCCTTACAGCGGAGACAGCTAGTGTGCTACAGGAAGGGTTCTTCTTGGTGCTGCCCTCAGGGGTGGAACACATCGAGCACCTGCTTTCTGAAACCAGCTGAGGGGTGCTGTCCGCCCCACACAGCCATAGCCTCTGTGCGGGGCTGAGCAGGGACAGGCCGGGTCCAGGTTCCTGCGGCACTTGGACAGCAGAAGGGGTCCGGACTCTGGAGGAAACGGCACTGGGGGATTCCAAGGGACTCTGAACTCCGGCTTCCTGTCCGGCAAACCACATGAGCGTCCCAGGGCAGTGTGCATCACTGGCGGGCAGGAAGGCCAGGAAGGAGGACGGAGTAGGTTCCTGGGCGCGTGCACTTTAGAAGCCGCTCACCCTAACCCTCCACCTCAGAGACCCTCGGCACCCTCAGGCTGCCAGCAGACTCACCACGCCACGTCCCGCCCATGGCTGGATCGCCCTAGAACATGCAGTTCATGCACTTGACGGTCTTGCTGCCGTAGTCCACACACTCGGGGCCGATGCACTCGCAGCAGGCGTTGTGGAACCAGCGGTACTTGGAGGCGCCCATGGACTCACAGGAGATCTTACACTGGTGGATGGACATGCAGTCATCGAAGTACACCACCGTGCACAGGTGCTCTGCGGGATAGGCAGGCCAGGGGCGAGGGAGGACGACAGGAAGGAAGCTGGCTTAGGTTGGGGACAGCTGGGCAGTAGGCAGAGCAGGGAGGAGCAGAGTCGGAGGGGGAAGGGACGGGGAAGGGTGGTGGTGGGGTCTGCACTGGGGGGGCGGGGAAGCGAAGGCCCACAAGCCTGACCACCTGCTGGAGAGGAGCCAGGTTCCTGCTTCTGCTCGGCCCCACCGCAGGCCCAGCTGTGCTTCCTAAACCCAGCTTTTCTGAGGGGTCTTCCTACAGTGAGAGAATCCTCCAGCCAAAAGAAGTCTGCCAGGCGCAATTCTAAGATTATGCTATGCTGATTTACAGTAGAGTGAACCAAACTCAACACAGTGACTGGCAATGCTGGGTACAGATGTGGGCTATCATAAAGCACTCTCATCACTAACGACAGCTTAAAGTCCTGCTCCCCAGCTAGGAGTATCATGCCAGAGAATAAATCAAGGGCAACAAACCCGACCAAACTGAGAGTGCACGCTCAAAGGTGCCTACAGAAGACAGAACTCACCAAGGGTCCCAACAGGCAGGAAGGGGAGAGAAATAAGAGCTGAGGCCCAGCGCCAGAAGAGAAAAGTCAAAAGCGGGGGCTGGGGGTATGGGGCAGGGCAAGGGGCAGACACAGCCAGACAGCAGTGGAGCTGTGAGAAAATCTCAGGATCACCAGAGGGACGTGGACAATACCAGACCAGCAAGATGGGGGTGCTGGTAGGGAGTGGGAAACCAGTGCCTTCAAAACCCCTGCACCCACTTCACCCATCGGCTCACAAAGTGTGGTTGCTGATGGTGGCCGCTGCTGGGGGATACCCACCTGGGACCAGGAATTGAGCAGAGGCAGGAACCATGAGACCAAGGGGGCCCTGCAAGCTGAGCGCAGGCAGCAGAGCCCCAGCCAGGAGCTGTTTCCTGTCAGGGCCTTTGGGAGCTCCCTGATCTCCCCAGTAGAGAAGATGTGGGTTCTTTACATTTTAATAGTGGGGCCAGTGGAAGCAAAACACCTCAGTACCACATGCCATATATTTCTGATGTTTTCAAAGACATAGAATCTGTTTCATAAAATATTTTAATTTAAAAGGGAGTAAGAATTCTCACTTAACAAAAGCTGTTTTGCTTGTACTATTCATGCTTCAAGATCTCTTCTGTTTAAGTAGGCAGGATCATAATAGTGGCTACAATAAACAACCAACTAAAGAGCAGAAATGGCAGCATTTATCTGTAACTCATGTCCTAGGGAATAACCAAGCTCGTGACTGCCTCGCTCTCCAGTTAGGCTGCCGCTATCGGTTACTGGAGACTCAGAAGCCTTCAGACCTTCCCCGCCCTGCCCTTCACTTTCTCCAGTCAGGCTAGGGCCCTCGATCACAAGCATGTATTCTTTGCAGAGCTGGTGTCCAGGAAGTCCCCCACCTTAGCATTCCTGGGACTCTGCTCTGCAGGGGACAGGCCAGCTGGGGGATGGCGGCCTTAGTGCCACCGCCTCACCAGAGCCAGGATGGCACCTGATACTAAGTGACGCTATGCAGTCAGGTGGCAGCGCTGCTCCCCACCCTCCTCCAGGCAGAAGAAACCAGGGGCTATGACAGGGCCAACATGGGAGTAAACACCTGGAGCTTCCTGAGACTCTGCTCCAAAGACACTTGGTCCAGGCTTCCCACAGGAACACAGCTGTGGGGGACAGGAAGGTTACCTTTGTCACTGGAGTAGGGCGTGTGGACATTGTTGCTGGGGACAGACACGTTCTGGTGGTGGGGCTGGTTCACTGTCTCCAGGAAAGAAACCAGGTTCTCATGGTGTGACAGTTCCTCGGCCACAGGGAAGGACACAATGTTCCAGTTGAGCTGTGTATCCCCCTCAGTGAGCGCCCGGAAGAGGGATGGGATAGGCTCGTGCAGCTCCTCCACCGTGCTCTTGGAGGTGGGCGGGGTGTCACTGTAGTTCCGGGGGTTGCACATCCCTGGGAGAGGCAGAGAGGCAAAAGGCTTGCTGCTTCCTGCAGAGGATAAAGCCTTGGGGCTTCTCAGGTTACCTTGGGGTCAGGGTTAGGGTCAGAGCCAGGGCCAGGACTTCCCAGCATGTTTGCTGAAGGGACCCAGGAGGGCAGTGCTGTCCCAGCTCCCAGGGGCTGGGAGCACCAGGGACCAGATCCTGGAGAAGAGCCGATTCCAGGTGCAAAGCCGGCTGGGAATGCTCTTTTGGGCTGGGGTGAGATGGGCTAGGAAGTGATCTGGGGGCCGCCCACCCACACACAGCTGAGATGAAAGTGGTGGTAAGGGGACCCCAGTTATACAGGAATAAGCAAGTGGTGAAGGCAGTGTGTGTCCACACCCACTGATGGAGGCTGACGGGGACAAGAGGGCAGAGAACAACTCTGAGCAAGGAGGGGAGTGAGCACCAGGTCACTGAGGGCTTGCAGGTGGCTGGGTGGGGCAGCCTGGGCCCCTCTCAGCTCCCACTTGCTGAACCCCTCTGTGGGCCGGGTTTCAGAGCAGCCAAACTACAACAGAGCCTCAGGGTTCCCTTTGTGAACTCAGTCCTCTTAAACTTCAGGCTGGGCGTGGTGGCACAGGCATTTTGTAATTTAGCACTCGGGATGCTGCGAGTTCAAGGCCAACCTAGGCTACACAGTGAAAGGGTTTTGGCCCAGACAGGACACTGTAGCCAGGAAAGCCACAACCGGAAGCAGGAAGCCCCATCTTGCCCTGCCCCTAGGAAGTTACCTGTGACACCATCTTCCCACCCCTGGGAATTTACATATGGCGCCAAACCTAGGACCAATGGGCTACCTGTGCATCCCTAATCCCCGCCTTAGGTTCCACCCCAAACCGAGGCTATTTACATGCCCCCCACACCACGTGTCCGCCGGAGAGATCGCCAGACGCCAGCGGTGGAGGTGCCGGTCGTCTCTCTCCGTGTTCTCAGAATAAAGGCCGCTTTTTATTTTATACTTCTCATCTTTTGGAAATATTTTTCATCTTTTGGAAATAATCCTAGCATACAGTGAGGCCCTGCATCCAAGCAAACTCCTTTGCAATTTAAATTATTTCATTTTTGTTTATTAGCTATTAGATCTAATGTGTAATTACACGTCTCCTCCCAAATTAAGGGACTGAGATGTTAGACCAAATTTATAAGTTCTAGGACTTATGCATTCAGGGAGGGAAGAAAATGTCTCATTTGTTTTCCACATTTTCTTAAGGACCCTGGCAAGGGCTAAAGGAAAATAACTTTCAATACATCTGAACTTTAAGGATCCAAGTGTATCAAAGAGCCCAGATCATGGCAGGTCTGACCCCTCTCCTCCCAGGGTGGGAACTGCCCAGCCCAGATTAATGAGACAGGTCTAAGTTACTAACCCGGGCTCCAGCCAAGATAGCAGGCTTGTGTTTGGCCCTGCACACTTCCTGGTGACCCCGCCCACAATCACTCTTAATGGCACAGACAAGCAAACACTGCTTTGAGCACTGTCTTCCACCCGAACAAATGAAGGAGTGGAAATGTGTGACCAGAACCACAGCCAAGGCCAGCTATCAGTAGTGCTGACGTCATATGACTCAGTACACCAAAAGCTCTGAGATTTTGTGCATTTACAACACTTAGGGACAAAAGACTTGTAATTTAAATGATGAAAACATGTATTGTAAATGATTATTTCTTACAGGCAGCATCCTTTCCTAGCTGAAGAATAAGGGGTACTGGGGTGAAAGCTCTGACAGGACTGTGAGGCCGCTGTTGCCCTCAGCCCTCGCTTCTTAACAAGGATCTGAATGACATGTGGCAGGCAAGCAGCCAGGGATTCGGGGTCACAGACAAGGGGCCAGCGTGGTGCTGGGTCCCCTCCACTGCAGCTGTCTGGCATCAGGGAGTCAGTCAACCTCCTTTGCCCAACAGGTGAGGAGCAGTGACACCTGCAGGGCCCAGAGAGTAGGGAAGCAGCATGAGGGTTAGCAAGTCTTCATTTTTCTGCCACATTACTATTTTTGTTTTGGCCTGAACTACATCCCCAGCCTTTTAAAACTGTTTTATTTTTGAGACAGGGACTAAGTTCCTAAGTTGCCCAGATTGGGCTCAATGTTTTGATCCTCCTGCCTCAGCCTCCTATAGTGTGGAGATTATAAGTATGTCCCACCATACTACTATTAGGACTTTTAAAATAATATAAGTAGATAGGGGCAGTTGTTTGAAAAAGAACATTTGCACATCTGTAATCCCAGTACTCTGGAAAGCTGAGGCAGGAGGATCACAGGTTCACTACCAGCTTGGCAATTTAATGAGACTGTTTCAAATAAAATAAAAAAGGGTTGCGGACAGAGTTCAGTGTGAAGTCCTTGGTTCAATCCTCAGTACTGCAGAAAAAAAGAGATTATATCATTTTTTTAGCCCATCTTAAGAACAAAAATCCAGTTATTAACAATGGCAACCAAAGTTTGGTGATATGATTTTTATCTTTTTTTTCTTTTGGTCTTTTTTGAGGCAGTGCTTCACTATGCAGTTCAGGCTGTCCTTGAGTTCACTTTGTAACCCAGGCTGGTCTCGAACTCCCAACAATCAGTCCTCCTGAGTGCTGGGATTATAGGCCTGCGTACCATGCCCACTGGTACTATGATTTTGTAGCTGCCCTGTCGCAGCTGCAGAGCTACATGTGCTGGTGAAAATGAGAGGGATGTGACTCTTTGGGAAGAAAGTCTCCTAGTCACTAGTAACTACACCTAACTGCACATCTCCACACAGAGCCCAGTGTGATGGTCTTTTGTGATCGTGCACCCACCCGACCACCCACGTGGGCGAATGTGTGTGGGTGCAGAAACCACTGCAGTCAGCAAGGGTCTGAGCTGTCTACGGGAACAAGGTGTTGGGCCAGCTGCGAGGTGTCAGCGGAGTCTGAAAGGAAAGGGAAGAGGGGGAGAAGAGCAGAGCAGAGAGGAGGAAAGAGCGGGAAGTTGCACTCCAGAAATCAGCGTTTTGGGTCTGCCTGCTCGGCCTGCTGCCATCTCTCCCTCCCACGTCCAGTCTGAGTGGGAAACAACGTGGCTGCCTCCACCGCAGGTGAGAGAGGCCTCGGAGTGGAAGTGATGCACATGGTTATGAACCTTTGTCTTTGTTATCATGTAAATGTTTTGCAAAAATCAAAACAAATGAGCACACAGGAATCTTCCTATACATCACAGTGGTCCAGAAGCCAGAGAAGGACTCCAGCAGGGCTGGGCACAGTATCTGGGCTTATGCCTTCAAGAACACAGCAGTCTTTTCTCGGTCTCATCGAAATGTTACACATAAAGCACCTAAGTACTGGCATCCATGGTGTTAGGGACAAAGAATTTCAGCTTAAGAGAAAAGAATTACAACAAAACCCAGCAACAAAATCAAGAGGAAGAAAGACCTGCAAGCTTTGGAGGGAGGGGGTGGAGCCAGGATCTCAATAAGTAGTTCAGGCTGGCCTCAAACTCACAGCAATCCTGCCACCTCAGCCTCTCGAGTGCTGGGATAACCAGCATGCGCCACCATAGCCAGCAAGACCTATAGTCTTAAATTGGAACTGGCATTATCAATACAACCCTGTACCCAGTTTTTTAGCGCTGACCACTGGACAGGATAGAACATGACCCAGGCCCAGGCCCTGGTCTGTTTCCTAAAGAAACCAGTACTCTGTGGGGCCGAGGCATGGCCCAGCCATGAGGTGACAGGCACTCAAGCTGCTGTCCCAGGCTTGCTGAGCTGGCGGACAGCAGTGATCACACCTAGAGGACACAGGGCCAGGAGAAGCTGCGAGCGGCCTGTAACCCAGCAAGATGTGTGGTGCAACAATAAAACGCTGAACGTTGTTTAACAGCCGTAAGTTCACAGCCACACTTAAAAAGTAAGCAGGAACTCAAAAACAAAATAAACGTACTGCATCTTAGCGGGCCATACCAGGCCCTGAATTCAGCACTCTGAACATGGGAAAAGGAAGGGTCCTGCACTGCCTTGTGTTACCTGTTCTTTCCAGGTGAATAAACGCCCCATCAGGTAGGGATAACCCCAAGGACACCAGCACCTGTCAAGCCGGCAGGGAGGTCACTGTCTGGCAACGTCTCATGGAGTCACTGTCTCTGGTGACGCCACCAGGCAGGGCAAGGTGTGACCAAGTGACCAGTGTAGGCCCCCTGTTGTGTGCACGCACTGCACCCACCTCCCACAACCCGAGACCCCACAGGCTCTAGGTCCAGCTTCCCACTGCCCAGCAGTGGCAACAGCAGAGCAGCACTTTAATACAGTGTAGCCATCAGCAGATCTGCAATGCGGCTTATTCTCCACCGGCACTGGCCAGATTCTTCAAACCCAGCAGAATGCGAGGTGGGGCTTCTACAGAGACAGAAACCAGCAGACCCACAGCCACACCCAGCTACTTGGGAGGTGGAGGCAGGAAATCAGATCCCAGCCTGGGCAACAGGGCAAGACTCTGTATCAAAAATGAGTAAATGACTAACAAAGAAAAGTAAGCCCCAAGGAGGACAGTGAATGGACTGGCTGAGCATCAGACAGTATCAAGGAAGCACTGTAACCACTTCAGGTACGGGAGCCCTGGGCTGGGGAAGCCAAAACCTGCTGTAGGCAGTGACCAGGTGGAAAACAGGTGAGGAGTGAGACAGAGACATGTGGGTCCCTGAAGACATGGGGGAGAGATGGTCTCAGAGAGGGACGGGGATCAGCATTGACAGCTGCAGTGACCAGGAAAGCATCAAAGTCGAAAACAAATCAGTGTGTGTGTGCCCAGCAGACACTCAGGAGAGCATTTGGGCATCAGAAAAGTCAGGAATCTAAACATTTAAGCTGGCTCTGCTGGCATGCTCAGGAGGCTGAGACAGGACGATAATGAGTGCGAGGCCAACCTGGGCTCTACAGTGAGTTCAAGACCTGCACTACACAGTCTTAAGCAAAACAAAACAAAAAAATTAAAAATTAATACAAAGGACTGGGGATGAGCTTACAGTGGAGGCCCAGGACTGACCCCCAGTGCCATAAATGCGAAACAAAACAAGGAGTTAACACAAGCACTGAAAGATTAGGAAATGGTCCATGAAGTACACCCAAAACCCGAAACACAGGTGACAGGATAATTCACTTAGTAAATTACTATGCATCAGAGGTGACCCCGCTTTATGAAATGCTGCTCTCACTGAAGTACGGGCAGCCACATGGTAACAGGGAGTCAGCTGATGGTTTTAACAATGAAAGCACCAGAGAGCAAGAGGTTTTTTTTTTTTGTCTTTTTGAGACCGAGTCTCGCTATGCAGTTCAGGCTGGCCTTGAGCTCACTTTGTAGCCCAGGCTGTTCTCGAACTCGCAATGATCCTCCCACCTCAGCCTCCCAAGTGCTGGGATTCCAGACGTGAGCCACCATGCCCGGCTCTAAGAGGGTATTATTTAGAGCTGCAGAAGCAAAATATCACCGAGGAGCAGAAGGTGTGGGAAAGTGGAGTGAAGAAGAGGCGAGCGAGCCTCACGCAAGGAAGCGGGAACTAAGGTGGAAAGACGGACAGGGCGGTGTTCCTGCTCTAGGGACCTGTCACAGATGTATCCAGATGTCCTCCAAGGCCTCGGGTGGGGCTGTTCAGCAGTGGCTGGATTTAGTGTGTGACTGATCCATGGTGCAATGCTAAGGTTAAGGGTAGGGCATTTCTAAACCAGCCCATTGACGGACCTGACACCACCCGAGCCAGGTCGCCTGAGCACAGTGTAAGGACAGAGCGAGGCTTGCCTGGCCTCTTGCTTGCTTTGCTGCCCTCTGCCATGTTGCTCTGCCATGCACCCAGCTGATGATGGACTGAAACCTCTATAAACTGCAAGCTAAATAAATCTTCCCCCTTTAACTTTGGGTGCTGGGTGTTTTGTCTCAGCAATGAGAGAAACATGACTAAGACAATCTGTGTGCATGGATCTGCACACATGTGCACACCACTCCTACACATGTGGACACAGACCCTGCACATGTGTGCATGGGGGCTCCGCCACCTTGATCCTCTTGGAGGGCTCTGCAGGAAGGACACACTGCCCTGGCCTCCAGGGGAGAGGGCTGACTGCTGGGGACACAGGTGCTGCCCACAACATGCATGTAGACACCTTCTCTCAACAACACAGGGGACAGCGCTCTACTGAACACTCGTGCACCTGGCCTTTTTATTAATGTATGTTGTGAAAAGTTCCTCAGATGCTTCTTATAAAGCATGCTCTGTGTTAGAAAACCAATATGTGACTCATAAAAACTCAACAGTATGTAAGATTTCAAAACAGAAAATAACAAATTCTCCCTTGTTCAAAGGTAAGCATTTTTAGATTTCCTTTTGGTGTCCTTTCTGTAAAACTGTGAATACAATGCAGTACAAGCAAGGGAAATCAAGTGGTGCCTTCTATGCACGCTGTGTCTACACAGGTGCTTGTTTACGGAGGATCTGGTCGTAGGGGATACTAAGACAAAGCAGGGCTCAGGAGGCTGAGGTGGGAAGGCTGTGGGCTCAAGGCCAGCCGGCCACACTTACCGACACAGTCGCAGCACTCATCCCAGAGGGCGCCCAGACACAGCATGCACTCCTTGCAGCACGAGCAGTTCCCCTCACCGGGCCGGCACTGGCACAGTTCCTAGACAGAGAGACAGCATCAGCGTTGTGCGTTCAGGCCGTGGGCAGCAAAGCCCTGCAGCACCTGTGTCTGCCGTCACTACTTCTGTGCAGCTCTGCACTCTATGCATACTCATTCTCCCTCTGGACACGTTCAGTGAGCATACTGGATGTTTCCGCTTTACTGTGGGGGAAGAAAGACCTCATGTTTTATAACCTTGAACTTTAAACCTCCATATCCCCTCAACGAGAAACTCGGTCCAAGGAAAAGATCCTGCTTTTCAGCTAGACTCACCGTGTAGGTCTATCTGCAGGCGTGGCTGCTTCTCCCACTGTCCCAGCCTGCACAAGGGAGGCGTTCCTGGGCACATGCATGTGCACACACACACCCACATACCTGGCATTTAGGTCACTTTCACTGGCCTATGACCCCTTATATACCATGCTTGCCATGCTGGATTACTGGTAGAGAAGGTGGCAGTTGCTCTCCTCCCCACAGTCCCGTCCTGGCACTGTGACTTCTGTCCCTCCTAGCCCCGGCCTCTGCCAGACCCCCACTCCCCTCCAATCCCAACCCCATGGAAATTCTGTCCCCACCACGGGCTTCTCCTTGTATCTTTTTTTTTTTTTTTGGTACTGGGAATTGAACTCATGACCTCGCGCTTGCTAGGCAGGTGCTTGTGCCTTTGAGCTAAGTCCCCAGCCCTCCCTGTATCTTTATAAAAGCCACATTAACATTTCAGTGTGGGCGATAAATCCGATCTTGCTCCTGGGCTCTGAAGGACCTTCCTCCTGCCCACTGTCCAGCTCTTCTGCGATGTTCCCTGGACAGTGATGTTCTCCTGCTTAGCCCAGGAGGAGATTAACACCTTGAGCAGTGCATCCGGCCCAGGGAAGCCCTTTCAGCCCTAACTTCCTTCCACAGGGCACCTCGTTCTCAGACTCTGCTGCACCGAGGTCACCTCCCCCGATGCCTCTGCGGGCTCTACAGCTGCTGCGTGAACTGCGTGACGGTTCTTCTCCAGGCTCCGGACAGCTGGATCGAGCTCAGCCCCAAGACAGAGGTGTGGGGCCAGGTCCTGTGGATCCATTAGGGGCTTCAAGTGGCAAGTGGTGACTGGGGAGAGCAGGAAGGGAACACTGCGTGGCCACGTGGCCCTAGAAAAGCTCCAGCCCGAGAGGCCCAGCTGTAATGGCTGCCTGGCAGGCCTGGTTAAAACAAAGCAATGTCTGTCTTTTACTTCCTGCCTGTGCCTATGAGACCAGATTCCCTCACGGTCTCCTCATGGTTCCTGGGACCTGACAGGGAGTTCTGTTCTTGCCTTCATCATCACCATCATCCTCGGGTACAAGGAGCAGGGCGCAGCAGGCTTCCCCTCCCTGAAGTGCAGAGACTTTAAGGTCAGAGCGGCCTCAAACCAGTTGGCTTGAGTGGGTATAAACTTGCCGTCAGTGTCCTCTGTCACACGCCTTAAGCAACTGGTTTCAGTGAGACTTAGATGCTTTCAAAACTGACTAATACTATGCAGCCACTGCCTCTCTATGTAAATACTGTGTGGTGGGCATAATATTCGTCTTGATGAAACGCATCTCTGGGCAACCAGAGCCTGCTCAGCACAGACTCTGGCTTGCCATTTTCTGGAACGCTGATTTTACTTCTTTCGTTTCGCCCTCTTCAGAGCTCTGGTTGTCACACAGCAGCACTCTGCAGAACTGCAGTGACACTGCTGTCTAATTCACTCAGCAGTTCCATGGGTTCTCCTGTGCCCACAGTGCATGAGCACAGTGGTGCCCAGGCTTCTGCAGCCTCAGGCTGTGTTCCGTGGTGCACACCCAGCCCTGCCAGGTTTAGCAGAATACCCAGGGGTGGGGATGCAGCTGGGTGGGGGTTGTGTCCTGGGCTTGCTCCTCAGCCCTGGACAAATAAAATAAAAATAGAATAAGAAAAGACCCACAAGGGCAGGACCTTATTGAGAAGTTCAGATTCTTAATCACAACCTCCAAGCCCAGGGGGTGGCTGGGTATGGATAGTGCTTACCCAGCAGGCCAGAATCCCGGTCCCTGCCCAGCTCCACAGAAAACATGCTGCAGGCCTCGACTTACTGACATCTACAAAACAGGACTGCAGAGCTGTACTGCATAACCTGCTTCCTGACAACCTGCTTGGCTCAGCTTTGCAGTAAAGGAAATTCTCTGAATACCGATTTTTAAAAGCACTGTCAGAGCATCCTTAGGATGCTGATTATTTCTGTCTCTTAGTTTTATAAAGGTTGTCACTCAGTCACAAGAAACTTCTACATTATGCACAGAAAATCCCTTTATTTTCATAGGTGCTTATATTTAATTAAGGAGAAACAAATTAGAAAAGAGCACAATTATTCAAAGAACACAATGTTTCTTTTTGCAGCTTCCAAACCTAGTTCACTGAATGAACTGCTGCATGTGATGCTAGACTTTGAAGGTCAGCCTCCCAGCTTCCGCCTCCAGAGTACTGGTCATGCCAGCCACAGCCAGGTCTCTTGGAGGTGACAGTGTGTGATGCCAACATTCCTGTTTACCAGTGGGACATGAAAGCCAACATCTGTGGGTGACCTGCACATGGAGACCCCTGCTGAGCTGCAGGATGCACACCTGGGGCCTCATGCACTGACCCATGACTTAGTGACACACAGTGACAACTATCAGGAGAGATGGCAGGTGACTTTGGGAGAAGTTTCATTGCTGTGCTATTAAACAGGCAAAATCCACAGCCAGTGTTTAGCTGTGTCAGATGTGGTGGTGCAAGCCTGTGACCTTGGTACTCAGGTTCACTACTTAGAACCACAGGAAAAAAAAAACAAGACACATTTTGATCATCAATAACTGCTAAAAGTAGTTGGATGCAAGCAACAATATCCTAGCCAGTTTTTTTTTTTCTTCACTTTACTTAAAAAAAAAAAATGAAGACCCCCTGCCTTCACAAAATTTAAACACACGAACTTCAGTAATCTGAGAAATGCACTGCCACATGTGCCCAACCCTCCTGTCATTTGCAACTCACAGCAGCAACCTTTTTAGGAGGCTGGGAAGAGTGAGAGCCTCAAACCTACCTTTTGGCCTTCACCAGTGCCTTTCCTGGTTGTGGAAACATACCTGCCACTTCCTAGGAGGAAAACACCATGTTGGCAAGTTTAGTGGATGTCATTACAATCTCCAAAGTCTCACTGCAAATCAAGAGTGCAGAGATGGCTTCCGAGAGAACATGGCGCATAGACAACAGCAGCTACGGAGGCTCTGTGAGATAGTCAGCTTAGAATCCAGGAAAGGTGCAGTGAGAGGAGTCCTAAGCAAGAGGAGATGTACCCTGCTGACCCAGGAACGAACTAAGCTGAGAGAAACCAACAGGAAATGCAATCCCGGTGCTGTAACCGGAACAGATAAAATCTCAGCACCAAAGCTGGAACCCGTGCCTCTGGAAACTGCAATTTGAATTTCCTGCTGCCGCTGCTGCGTCTCAATCGGCACAGCAGGGACAGAGACACAAAAGCTCTGAGAGGGGGAATCGGTGAACGGAGTTGAGAGCGGGACTGGCAGGGATGTCAGTCAACCTGCAGTGAGTGAGAGGAACAGGGACCCTTCCATAGACTAGGAGGCTCCAACAGAGGACATTCTGGGACCGGGCAGACTAGCCGGAACAGGGCCCTGCAGTGACTTTAGTTGCATATTCCCCCCTCAAGCGGGATTGGTGGGGAGCGCTTGACCCGGGTGACGCTACAGACTAAGACCCAGCAGGCTAGGCCAAACCAGGTCCCAGTGCCTGGCGGTGCACCCTAGCAGTGAAGCCTTCAGTAGGTCGACCTGGAGAGGCGGGCCCAGCAGAGGCTGCCCAGGTCTGTGTCTCCCTAGTACAATGCAATGGGCGGGAACACCTAGCCGGCGGATTCAAACAAACTGTAACCCTCAAAGAAAGAAACTGGGCTTCTTATATACGCTTGTATGGAAGGAACAAAAAGTATGGGAAGAGGAGGCAACAAGAAAGGGTCCTCGGCCCCCAATCCAGAGAACACTGATCCAGGAAAGGTAAATGCAAAAGAGAATGAGGACGGAAAACATGCAGTATCAGGCATGGCACCAATAGACATAAAGTGGTATCTCCGGAGCCTCATAGAATTCAAAAGTGAAGTATTTAACGAAGTAAAGCAAGATATAAGTAGAATAGTTACAGAAATGCTAAGCACTGCCCAGGAAAAATAACAGATGGTGGAATGGAAGAACAGAAAAAAAGGGGAGAATTGTTTGATGGAGAAAATAGAGAAAACATAGAATATGTGAAGCAGGTTCAAAGAGATTACCAGGAAACTAAAAACTCTATTGAAAGCTGGCATAACAGCTTGAAAGAAACTAAAGATAGATTATCTCAACTGGAGGACAGATTTGTAATGTGGGAGCATGAAATGAAAAACTTCTTAAAAATAACAAGGAAACAAACAACAATAATACAAAGGCTAGAAGATGATAAGAGGATCTATAACTTAAGAATGTAAAAGAAGAAGTAGGGACACAAACAAATGAACTACAGAGGCTATTGACAGAAATAATCCAGGAGAATTTCCCTAATTTAGCAAAAGGTGTATACTCAGATGTATGAGGCATACAGGACCCCAGCCACCTACAACCCAAACAGAGCTACACCCAGGCATATAATAATCAAAATTCCAGAAATCCAATATAAGAACAGAGTATTCAAAGCCGTCAGAGACAAGAAACAGATCACTTACAAGGAAAACCCATCAGAATTACAGCAGACTTCTTGGCACAAACCATCAAATCATGAAGAGCATGAGGTGAAATAATTTAAGCTTTGAAAGATAATAACCTCCAGCCAAGATTGATACATCCTGCACAACTGTCCCTAGAAATTGATGGAAAAACAAGGTGCTTCCAGGATAAAGAGGAACTAGGGGAATTTTCAATCACCAATTCAACTCTACAGAGAATACTGCAGGACATTCTAGAAAAGAAAAATACCAAGATTCCGAAACA